TCATTGCTGGAGGATTCACACGAGGAGAAGAAACTAGTTCATCCATGAAAATATATGTTCGGGTAGTGATGTATATTAGACATAAGCCGCTTTCAGAAGAAGATGAAAACCCGACATAATCAGTTTTTCTAGAAGAAGATGACCCATTGGTAATTAAAGTATAAATTCATGACTGGTGTGTGAAACAAGTCTTAGTAGATTCGGGAAGTTCAACAAATGTTTTGTATTGGGATGCTTTCAAGGGTATGAATTTCGATATTGCCGAGCTGTTACCTTTTAAAGGTACTTTGGTCAGTTTCTCCGGAGAAGAGGTGCAGGTTCTTGGGCATCTTCCCGTGATAACAACTTTTGGTAGTGGAGACAACACGAAAAGTGTCAAGGTTAGGTACTTGATTGTCAATGTCGCATTTCCTTATAACATTATTATTGGGAGACTATCATTCAATTCTTTAGAGACGACATTATTCACTTTATACCTCACACTGAAGTATCCTCTCAAAGATGGCCGTGTAGGGGTGATAAAAGGTGATTAGGGATTAGCAAGGAAATTTTATAAAGACAGTCTGAAGTTCAAAAATAAATTTAAAGCTAATGAGCCAATAAAATGTGATCATTTAAAGGTGAATCTTGTTGATATTGATCTAAGATAAGACCTGACGTAAGATAGTCTGACACCCATCGAGGATGTGAAGAAGGTACATATCAGTGCCCAAATACCATAGACAACTCAGATTGGTTCTAATTTGTCTCTAGAATAGGAAGTCGAGGTCATAAGAATATTGAAGGAGAACATAGATCTATTCGCATGGAAACCAGATGACATGCCCGAAATCAATCCAAACATAGTTTGCCACCATCTAGAACTAGATCAACCTATCAAGCTGGTGTCTTATAGAAAGAGGAAGGAAGGCAAAGAGAAGAAAAGAGCGATATAAGATGAAGTCGAAAAGCTTGTGAAAGCTAGTTTCATTCAGGAAATTAAGTACCCTATCTGGTTGGCTAATATAGTCATGTTCAAAAAGAAATTGAGAAAACGGAGAATGTGCATGGATTTCACTGACTTGAATAAGGCATGTCCCAAATATTCTTATCCGTTCCCTTACATTAATCGACTCATCGATGATGCTTCTAATTTCACTGACTCGAGGTCATTGTTTCAGACAATGACATGCAATTTGCTATTTTGTCAATAATAGATTTTTGTAAGCATTTGGGGATACAAAATCAATTTATTTTGGTGGAGCATCCTCAAGAAAATGGTCAGGTAGAGGCAGCGAACAAGATCATTCTACCCGAGATGAAAAAGAATTTGGATGAAGCTAACAGGTTATGTGTCGAGTACTTGCACGAGATCTTATGGTATTATCATACTACACCTCATTTAACTACTCAGGAAGCTTATTTCAAGATGGTTTATAGAGTTGATGCAATGATATCGGTAAAAATCAATACTCCAACTTGGGAGTATTGCTTTTGATGAGAACGCCAACTCAAATGGTCTGGACAATTATGCAAATCTATTAGATGAAGTCATGGAAATAGCCCACATAAGGGAGTTCACAACCAAATACAAAATTTCCAGGAGATTTTATATCAAAGTAAAGGCAAATAGGATTTCACAAAGGAGATCTAGTATTGAAAAAGGTGACTGAACCTAAGAAGAAAGACAAGTTGGTTCCAAATTATGAAGGACCTATTCGTGTCCGTCAGAAGTTGAATAACGGGGCTTATAAGTTAGAAAGTTTAAAGGATGTTGAAATACCTAGGGCTTGGAATGCAACCAACTTTAAGTTTGATTTTAGCTAAACTATGTAATAAACACCTTGAATAAAATTATGGGAAGGCACCCATAATTAAAACAATTTTATTTTAAATTTATAAAGCATGAAACATGGTCCTAGGACATGATCCGAGATTAAGCCCAGAGCCAATGAGTAATCATCCAAAGGTCGGGAACTTTCCATATAATTGGCTGAGGCCGTGGTAAGTCAAGTGAAACCTATGGCCTAACTGAAATCTAAGTTAATTGAAACCTCTGGCATAATCGGTTGCGGTCAGGATAAGTTAATTGAAACCTATGGCCTAACTAAAGTCTAAGTTAATTGAAATCTCTAGCATAATTGGTTGCGGCCAGGCTAAGTTAATTGAAGCCTATGGCCTAACTGAAGTCCACTTTAATTGAAACCTCTGGCATAATCAGATACGACCGAACTAAGTTAATTGAAACCTCTGGCCTAATTGAAGTTCACGTTAATTGAAACCTCTGGCCTAATTGAAGTTCACGTTAATTGAAACCTCTGACATAATCGGCTATGGTCGGGCTAAGTTAATTGAAACCTCTAACCTAATTGAAGTCCAAGTTAATAGAAACCTCTGCAAAAATTGTGTCTGATTGAATTATAAAGGGAAACCCTTGGTTGGGATATGCTTATCATGGTCAAGTCTTTGGTTTTTTTAACTAACCGGAGTTTTATAAGTGCTCCGAGTTATATTATCATTATGGTCATGCCTCGTAGAGATACCCGAGTGGCCTATCAAAGTAGAAATATCTAAATTGACTGACCATAGCCTTGCCCCTAGTTGGGGAGTGAGTTTGACTGAGCCACTTATGTTTAAAAATTAATTTTTAGCACTTGGGGCTTCTATAAGGAATCACTTCAGAAAACCAATTATAAAGATGAATTATGAAAAGGAGACAATCAATAACACTGAATAATATACGAGATTGTCATAGATGTTACATATCATAATAGGATCTGGTTACAAAACAAAAAGGAAATGCAGACAACATTCCTAAAAACATTACAAAACACATCCTAATGGATGACTAACAAAAAAGGGAATATAAACAAGATTATTCTTCATTCTTATACTCATCAATAACTCCGAGGTTGGTGTCATCATCACGATCTTTCTTAGTCAGATCATCATCAAGAGAAGACTCGATTTCTTCCATATCACACTATTAATGCTAACTCAGAAGTGACAAATACTATTCTCCTTTAGTTTTTTCCATTATAGTCAAGACATAATTAAATATACCATTGTCACGAGCCCTTTAATAAAATATCCAATACCACACTATCAATGCTAACTCAAAAGTGACAAATAGACGGGAGACCGACTTCACCAAACCCCACACAAGGGACAAACAATTCCAATATAATCAACAATTATCCCTCTTTGAATACGTTTTCCCTAGAAGAAAAATTATCTTGCAGACAATGCCAAGTAGACTCCAGCTTAGGGTTATCCCCAATAGGAAGACCTAGGTACTTAAACGAGAGGGATTCAATTCTACAATAGAGTAATTCATTCACAATGACCAAAAAGATAAGGTTCACATTAACCCCTAACAAGACTACTCTTGAAGAAATTAACCTAAACACCAAACTGCTAAAACCTTCGCCCATAAGGATAAAAAGGAAAAGAGCAAGGGATCACCTTACTTTAAACGCCTCTGGATGTTATTCTCTTGAGTTGGACACCCATTAATTAACACCTCAAGATTCTCATAAAAGACACATGCTCTCATCCAAAATCTCCATTTCTCGTTGAACCCAAACATGATAAGCATATAATCCAAAAAAAACTCTAAGAGACTGAATCATATGCTTTATCTAAGTCTACCTTAAAAATAAGACAAATTTTCTTCTATCTCTTGGCCAAATCTATTACTTCATTAACATCCATCAATCCATTTACCGACATACTACCTTAAAGAAAGAAGATTAATTAGGAGAAATGAGCTTCTCCATTACTTACCCAAGTATGGCCGCCAAACACTTTAGCTACCGGCTTGTAAAGGGATTTAACTAGAGAAATGACTGCCAAAAGCTTCAACCATGGATCTCCGGTACTAGAACATAATGATAAAACTAACCATGAAAAATTCTTATGAGATAACTAATGATTATTGAATCTAAAAAAAACCAGGATCCCACATTTGATTGGAATACTTAACAATAATTGGACAATGATCAGACATCCTTAAGAAGGTCCACTGAGATGTCTCACTCTAATGACAGTACCCATTCGGCACCAAAATCCGATCGAGTCTACAAGCAGTCCAGCCATTGGGTTGAAAGTGAACTTTCTCCCTAAAAAAGGAAGATTTAACAACCCCCACTGAGAGATGAACAACCCACTTGAAAGAACAACTCAACATCTAGGAGTACCCCTAATCAATCAGAGATGCTTAGTATGCACAACTGAACAATTTTTTCTATTGTGAAATGTACTTTATAGCTGATGAACATTAATTTATCTGTGTGAACAATTTGACTAGAAGAGATGAACGAAAGCCACACAATGAAGGTGCCAAAAGGCATGAAGTCGAGTCAAGAAAAAAAAATACAACTAAGACAGAACAATAAGGAAACTAAGATGCAAGACTCCTAAAAATTGGAGTTTGTGATACTATGCAAAAAAGTATTTTTAATGTATTTCAATAATGTTTCACAATAGAATAACTAATCTATTTAAATAGTACAAATTCTAAACCTAATAAATTTATTTGGTTAACAGAGACCATATAGTAAACAAATTACTACAACTATTTGGTTAACAGACCATATACAAAGATGTTATATACTCTTTGTAGAGTTTCAATCCATCTGATTTAATTTACATAATTATTTAGTATTTTTATTCTCATTATTAATATAAGTTGTTTATCAATTTTTAGTTTTAGAGTGTTTAAATTTGTTTGATTACTTGAACAAGTCATTTTATATCCTCTAAAAAAAGAAAGCAATCCATTATATGAATATTTATGAAAAAGCAATAATAAACAAAAAGAAAGGAGTAGAATTCCTTTTATAAAATGGTAGGAGTAAACACCTACGAAAAGTACAAATTGCATAAGATTGTTGGAGTAAAACATCTAAGAATACTCCAAAAGGCCTAACTTATTCTCCTTTTCACCCTGGTAGCTCAAGCTGAGGAGTCTGACAGGGGAAAGCTAGTTACATTACATAAATAATACATAAAAAGAAGAACTAGTTGTTGATGTATGGAGCAGGCTTTGGTAGACCCTTAACAAGTCCACATAGCAAGTGATCATCTGGCATATTGTTTTCATCTCTAAGAGATCGTTCTGGAGTTAGCACACTGATGTACATTTGTTGTCCCAAGTAACGATTCTCAGCTAGCTCGGACCTTAAATTCCAGACTCCACAGTTGTCGAATGATAACATTATTGCAGCCCATGATTTTGGAAACACTTGGACTGTGTGTCTGCTCACTGCATCAAGCAAGTTGTATGTCTTCCTTTTATCCGGTGACCATGTTCCTGGCTCGATACTGAACATGCACATGCACGTAGACACGTTAATAAACAATGAGATTGAATTAGAGAATAATCAAAAGCGTAATCATTATAATATTAATACTCACGCTACTGCAAAGAAGGCGTATCCGTCGAAGTTATAAGATTGAACACTTTTCTCTGGGTTCTCGAAGATGATCTCGATGAAAGTACGATGGGGTAAGCGAAGAATATTTGGTTGCATTTTAATAGTGACTGGAACGCCTGCTGGATTGTCCTGAATAGTGTCATACTTGAAAACCTTATCAGCGATTCCGAAGTATTCAGCGAGTTTAAGAGGGGTTTCGGTATCCACATGGGAGACGCCGTTGATTGCATAACGGAGTTTTTCATTGTCTCGGCTAACGGAGTTGATGAGTTTAACAGTTCGGGTGATGTTGATCTGACCGTAATGATATGAACCTTGTGGGTTAGGTCTAGCAGCACTAGCGGTGAGGTTCCATCGGAAAGATCGGAACTGGTTCAAAGACCAAGCCCAGCCCTCTGGAGCTGCTGGAAGTTCAGGTGAAGCAGGACCTTTACCGTTGGTGTAGCGAATGATACCTTTTCCGGTGAGATGGTATTTGGTGAAACGGGTTGAAGCAACCATGTAATAGTCTTTTGGATCTTTATCTGCAGTGACAAGAACGCCGAAGCATTGTCCTAGATGAACGTCAAGAGAATCGTAACTGTTTTGGACAGTGTGAGAGCCTTCCATTTCAACAAGCAACATTGAGTGGCCTTGGATTCTGAAGTTGAGGGAGTTCTTGATACCAACATTGCAGATTCTATACTTGTAGGTTTTTCCTGGCTTCATTGTGAAGAGTGGTTTGTCAGATCCATCACCCTTGGCGTTTTGGCCGTTAACAAGAACTGCCTGTGGTCTTCCGATGGAATGGCCGGAGTCGAGAAGTTTGCTGAGGGAACTGTGGCTCTTGGTGTACCAGTCGCCGATGAGGACGGTGTAATCGTCTTCGGGATCGGCGTATGGGACGGGGATGAGTAATCGGCTGTTGATACGGAGGCCACCGAAACCGCCAGCTGCTCTTTGCATCCCCAAGCTTGGGTAGTAGAAGAAGCTACCAATCTGATCCTTAACTTGGAATTTGTATGTGTAGTTTGTTCCTACTTTAATGGGACAGTTTGTTCCTGCAACACCATCTTGCCACGAGTTCTTCCTTTGCTGGATTCCAGCCCTGTAAATTTCATTTACAGTTAACATATTGATTTGACAAAATAATAACACATTGTTCTGAAACGAGAATCATACCATGTGAAAAGAAAAGGCTCGTCCAGGTTGTTGAAAACGTTAACGACGACGTTGTTGTTACTGGTTGAGTTGATGTTGGGGCCTGGAAACTCGTTGTTGATGAGAATAACCTGTTGGGGAACTCCAGCAGGGGAGATTGTGCCATAGGTAACATTCCATGTGAAAAACAAGTAAGGATCTTCACCCTTCACCGTTGATGTTAAACCAACCAAGAGACACAATAACAACAAAAATGTTGCTCTTTCCATTTTTATGTAAGAGATAGATAGAAGATGAGAGTAAGATAAGAAAGAAAGAATGTGTTGTGATATGGATTAACGATTTGGGTTGTTATATACCGTTTGTAAGAGTTTATTAACCATTCAAGTTCTCCGTTAACGACTCTTACTCTCCATTGCTTATGATCCTTAGAATGCGTCTTTCCGATTTTTGTGTCAAACCCATTCTCATTGTCTAAAGTTAGACTAATGATATGTTTCTCAATAAACAAAAAGAAATTACTTTGCCTTTGTACAAATGTCATCCTATCAATAGTAAATGCACCATCTTGCTTCTAGTTAAACACCATTTATTTAATCCTAGAAAAAAATATACTTAAATTTAATTAACTAATAATTTGAATATATTGATAAACAATATAACTATTGGTCAAAATACTATTGTAAATTAATTTTTATTTGAATTATATTCAGTTTTATTTTTAAAATATGGTTAAAAAGTTATATTGTAACAATTTATTATGAATTATAATATAGATAATTATATAAATTAATTAAAAAAAAAGAATATTTTACTTGAAACACAAAATATATATATTTGTAAGGTCACAATGATATTTAGAACTTAGTTTTTGCAAATTTTAATAATTCTAAAAGATATTACTTGTACTCATTTTTTATATTTTGATTCTCTTGTCTGTGTGATACTCATATGTGAAAAACTAATAATATTATTCTTTGTCTGTAATTTATTTTTTCGTCTTAATAGAAGAATGTAACAGGGAAGTATATAAATGCAATTGAAAAGGGTTGCATACTCTATCACATTTCAATATCAACAAAATAGTATCAAGTATTTGAAATTTGTATAATAACTAATTTGACACTAAAGACATTTTGTTTCAACTTATACATTTGTTATGTTTTAAAGAAAACCAAAAACATTTAAAAGTATTTGAATTCGAATTCACATGTCTCTTTTATTTTTAAAATTTGAGAAAATATATATAGTTCGAGTAATTGTTAGATTGTTAGATTATTTTATTCAAAATGAATGGAACATTATATATATATATATATATATATATATATATATATATATATATATATATATATATATATATATATATATATATATATATATATATATATATATATATATATATATTTTCTTTCTTTTTTATAATTCATAAATTATTTAAATAAAAATAAATAATGTTATATAAGATAATTATTAGGTTGTTAGATTATTTTATTCAAAATGGGTGAAATATTATATTGAAAAAATATATCAAAATCTTTTTTTTTTCTTTTTTATTATTGAAAAATTATTTCAAGAAAAATAAATAATGATATATTTCAAAATTACAAAATAGCTGTTAGGCTGATTTTTTGTGCGCTTATATTTAGGTTCGAGCTCAACAAAATAATAGTTTCTGCTTTAACATTTTGAAAAATAAAGATGAATTTGAGAAGTGTCACATAAAAATAATGGTGATGTGTCAAATATAGAGTATGTGGCATATGATGTGTCATGATATAATTTGTCTCTTTAGATTTAATATATTATATAGATTTATAATTGTTAGACATGCAATTTCTTCTTCTAGATCATATTGATTCTAGTCAATCATTCTGAAAGAGTTGTAATCTTTCTAGAATCTTTTCAGCGCACAAGAACTATCTCACCGATGGATACATAGGATCTAGGTACATCGAACGACTTTACGCAATCCACGCCTAACAAATAACAAGTTTGCTATTTCCTCTCTACAATATAGAGAGTGCACTAATTCAGGTACTCAGTTTCAAATTCAATTTCAATTTACTATTCTCCCTTACATACTAACTTGAGCATTGGAATGCTAACCATGCAGACAAGTCCCCTCTCCGCTGCACTGGAAGCTTAACTCCGCCACTACTTTCAATCCTCGCTCCATTTCTAATTTAAGTACGAAACATGGAGTTGTATGTGGGAAACAACTTATGATTCCTACATTCTCCACAATTTCACGTTCGCTATTCGATTCATCAGTTCGAAACCTTCTCAGGTCATCAAATTGAGAACACTTAAAATCGAACACGAAGATCTATCGCATTTGATCCAATCAAGCATCGCTTCAACTTTAATTTCCTGAACTTTCAAATCTATGATTCCTACGTTTCCATGTAATGGTTGTATCCAAAGTTACTCGTTTCACCGCTGTGCGAGAAGTCGTCGCTGCTGCAGCTCAAGCAGCAATCAATCAGCCATCTCCCCTCCTCCGCAAGGCATTGTAAGTCTAAGGCAAAGGTTCTATTGCATTCGGATATGGTCCACACTCCCTAGGTAGTTAGATTTGTTCAACTACGTTCGATTGGACCCTCGATTCCATGTTCAATTTCACAACCTGAAGTCTTACATGACTTCCAACTACTATTAGTTACCTTGTATTATTAGGCGCCAAATAGTTTCTAAACAACATGTACAATATCGTTCAACAACGAAAGTTACAGGTGATAGAGGAAAGGTTGTTTTTCCTAGAAGAAAGGCTCTACAATACTCCTCCACATGGGAACACTGTTCAAGAGGCCACATCGAGGAGAATCAAACTTCCATCCTCGAGCCGACCGTGATGAATAAAAATGAAGCTTCTGAGTCAAAGAATCAATAGATAAGCAAGAAACACCAAAGTCCTCCCTAAATTCTCGAGGGATCGAGGCAGCCACGTTCATCCCTTAGATCTGATGCAGATTCAGCCATTGAAGAATCAACAGAAGCATCCTCTGTGCTCACATATTTTAGATAGTAAAATAACATAATCCATGGAGAAGCCGCCTAAGTTGAGCGAGTACAATGGAAGGAGATCCAGACGAGCACGGGTAGCTTATCAACGACTGACTGAATTACTCTAGTGTTGGCGAAACCTCAAAATGCAAGTTGTTCGAATTAACTCTGGTTGGGCTGATCAGACTATGGTTTAATGGTATGCAGGACGAAACATTCAATAATGGGCGAATTTATATGAACGGTTCTCCACGCACTTTACCGCCCAAAACAGGTCGTCTATGACCGTAGCTGCTACGAGTGGGATCGTTCAAGGGAAGAAGGAGAGTCTGAAGTCTTATATCCACATATTTATACACGTTTCTATTAAAGTGAAGGGAGCTGAAAAAAGACTTAAGGGCTAGATATTTGAGAATAAAATTTTGCGCAACCATCCCTTTACGTTAAAGATAGAGAGGAAAAGAGTGTGAACCACTCAAGAAATGTTAAGCGTGGTCCAGTCTTACATGATCTTAGAGGAAAAATTGAATACACGGTTTAAAAATTGCTCTTCCACTGAGAAAACTTCCCATTTAAGGGAACCATGAAGAGAAAGATTGTCGAGATGTTGGACATCTATAAAAAGATAGAAGTACATTTGTGAAGACCCTTGATTGACCTATGTTAGAATTTTGAGACTCTGAGAAGGTGGAAGGCGTTCCTAACTAAATCTTCCCCTGGTGATTATCGCTACCATCAAGAAGTTTGACGTCTCCCTAATCCTAATTGTTGTCTGTAGCTATTGAGATATAATGTACTTAAAGTTATTTGAAAAGATAAGCCTGAAAAGAGGAAGCTAATGGTCGTATGACGACTCATACTTCTAGGCATTCAACGGGACAACCACTCGACCATGGGGGTATGTTGAGTTGATGATTTTAGTAAGCAAAAGGAAAGATGTCCGGACAATCAATTCGCAATTCCTCTTCATCCCTTACAAGAGCGTCTAAAATTGCATTTTGAAAAGACCCTTTGCAGCCACCATGGACGGTGTAGCCTTGTCGGTGCATCTTAAACTCAAGTAACGTAATCTTCAGGGAGAAACAATCACCATTGATATCGATCTCGAAGGAGAAAATAAAACCTATCAAGCACTTTAGAGAGACTAAGGAGAAGGCGTGACCATGGAGATTAACGTGGCTTCCCTAACCAGCCAACTCATTAGCAATGGCATTCATCCCCCAAGAAGTGGCTAGGCAAACAAAAAGCAAATAGGGAGAATAAGATGCAACTAGCCTGTCTAGATATGTTTTCTTTCCTATTATTATTATGTTATATCTATATAATCACTCTCCTCGTGCACATGGGTAACTTTCAATTAAAAATGAAATGTGACAAGTCCTAAAATATTCATTTCTTTGTGATTCTGCACAATAATAACTAGTCCAAGGTACGACTGGTAGGATCAAGGTATGACTCAAATAAATTCTAGGGCGTCGTCACAAAAGCTTCGTGTGTGCGACTACAACAATAAATTCCTCACATACAAAACATATATAAAGAAATTCAGGGGGGTTATCACAGATGCCTCGCGTGTGCGACTATGATATTCAATTCTCCACAGTCAAGAGTGATGTCACTAGGGGTGGAAATAGGCTAGGCCGAGTTAGGCTTTGCCAAGTCTGAGTCTGACCTGCTAAAAACTTTATAGCCTAAGTCTGGCCTATGGCCTATTGTAGGCTTATTTTTAGGTCTGAGTCTAGTCTTTTCGAAGGTTATTGAAAGAGTATGTTGATATCTTCACCTGGTCTTATCAAGATATGCTTGGGTTAGATATCAACATCGTTGAACATCACATGCCACTCAAGCCCGAATGTCCTCCTGTCAAACAGAAACTCAGAAGGACTAGACCCAACATGGCACTTAAAATCATAAAAGAGGTAAAAAAAACAGTTTGATGCTGGGTTCCTAGCCACTCCTGAATATCCTGAATGAGTTGCTAATATTATCCCAGTTCCTAAGAATGATGGGAAGGTCAGAATGTGTGTGGATTATCGAGATCTCAATAAGGCAAGCCCGAAAGATGAGATTCCTCTGCCTCATATTGATGTCTTGGTAGACAATACTGCACAGTTCTCTGTCTTTTAATTTATGGATAATTTCTTAGGGTATAATCAGATCAAGATGTCCCCAGCTGATATGGAGAAGGCCACTTTCATCACACCCTGAGGTACATACTGCTACAAATTCATGCCATTCGGTTTGAAAAACGTAGGGGCAACAT